CAAAACTGAAGAATGCCTGTGAGTTTTTGAAATTTCTATATTATTGTGACTTGGCACCAGGTATCTTATATATATATATATATATATATATATAGTAGGAGTGCAAGAGGTCCAATTTTATATATAGTCTTCTTGGAGTGCAAGCTACTACGATGTGTGTGTATGTATATATATATATATATATATATAATATATAAAAGCTAAATTTTACTACTTCAACCAAGTCCCAGGAGTGCGATTGTTTCTACACCCATATATATATATGGGTGTAGAAACAATCGCACTCCTGGGACTTAGCTTTAAAATTTAGCTTTTATATATTCCATATATAATATCAATGTTTCAGCTGTTACCTGTCCTGATGAAAGCTCCATGTTGGAGCTGAAACATTGATATTTTATATGGAATAAATAAAAGTAAAATTTTACTACTTCAACCAAGTCCCAGGAGTGCGATTGTTTCTACACCCATATCTACCTTTGCCACAACCAGCACCAGGCACTACAAAAGTCTTCTTGGAGTGCAAGCTACTACGGTGTGTGTGTGTGTGTGTGTATATATATATATATATATATATATATATATATATATATGTGTATTTTTTTTTTTAGCACATAGTAAATTGAGTTTATCAGATAAGACACTATATCTATGTGGCCATTTCACCCTTGTAATCACTGACATGAGTGTGTGCTGAAAACTGTCTGGTTGAAGGTTTTGTAAAGCAATGTGTTGTTGGAAACCAAAAGAATGCCTCCAAAGTCTAGCAGTTTATCCCAGAATAGTGCTTGTTTCGCCTTAGGAAATATACTAATCATTACAATCAAAAATCCCTTACAAACTTAAGATATAGCTCTATTTCTCTGCATTGTTCTTGTGAATACCGCAATGAAAAGTTTTCTTTATATTTTTAAGAAAAAAAAAAAATCTGTTCTTGATAAAAGCCAGTGAGTTGAAAAAAAATAGAAAGGTCGGGATCGTGAGTTGGTTGAGAAGTGTTAAATGCTCTCCTAGCTGTTTATCATTAGATTACCATCTAAAACCCACATCGGAATGCAATCTTTCTATCTATTTGACTTCTGTTTGTTTCAGAGCAACCTGACTTAATAGACTTTAATAAGGTATTTCTTCTCTTGAAATCACATTTTCAATGGGTGTCTATTGCATTAAAAAATATATTCTTGTGTTGTGTGAAATTCAAATGTATTTCTTACCTTTTATATTTTATTACAACATTTTTTTAGTTGTTTTTAAATTTTGCAGTCAAGTCTACCACGTTAAAATAAATGTAATATCTCCCTAACATGCTTGTAGTGATAATTATATTTGAAGTCTTTGCTGCTGTTATTGCTGGAATATAATGTAACTGTCTCATTGCAGAAGAAAACATACTTCACGTCTTAATTTGTGTTTAACTTGACACTTTTGTTGTCTATCTGCCTGTAAGGGCTTGTAGCCATGTGTCTAATTTGTTTAAACACATGACATGTGTGACATGTCATGATTCTCTTTTGTTCCAGAAGTTTGGTCCTTAAGGGGTTAAAGAGTTAGAATTCAGAAAAACATGCACCCTTCCAAAGCAGTCTACCTAAGTCTGACCATATAGCCAAGAGAAGAGATAAAATAGCCCTTAAGTTATTCATCATGCATCCAAAGTAGCTCTGATGGCAGTTAGAAAGCACAGAAAAGCTCAGTGCAGGTTTCTTAGGCACACTCAGAGTTCTGTGAATGTCCTATTGATGGCTGAGGTTGCTGCGATAGATGATGTCATACTTCGTCAATCTAGCAGATTCCATCCTGGGCTGGTTGAAGGATTTTTGGCTACACCTCTGAAGATGCATTTTGTCCCTTCCCCTTTTAGATTTCTTACCTTATTTAGAGTATTTTATCCCCTTTAGAATAGCTTATCCCACTTTTTACTCCTTTGGGTCTCTTTAAACCCCCCATGTGTGTCTCTTTAAACCCCCCATGTGTGTCTCTTAGTTTCCCCTTTGGGTGTCTCTTACTCCCGTAGCCCCTTTGTGTGTTATCTACTTCCTCCAGCCCTTTGTGGTTCATACTCCTCCCTGTCCATTTGTGTGTCTCTTACAAGGCCATATAACATGGGGGCTGATGGAGCTGCAGCTCCAGGCCCATGCTCATGGAATAGGCCCATTTCTAAAAAGTTTTCTTTTTTTACTACTCTTCACATGCTATTGCTTGGAATATGTAAACTTAACAGGGACGTAGGGTAACAAAACGTCTGTGGACTGGCTGACTATGAAATTAGTTAAGGTAAAGTTAACTTTGTGCACTATGCAAATGCTCTTGCTGCTTCAGTCTCTCTAACACAGTGGCATGTTCCCTTTCATCTACACTCACTAGTTATACCTTTTCTCTGTCCCAAAATGTATAACAGGAGCTTCTGGCAGCTAGTAAGAAGGTAAGGAGAGTAGTGGACAAGTGAGTGGTAGGGGACAGTCCTTAGAAAGCGTAGAGCTAGCGCATCATTAGATGCATTTATGTCAAGCTCAGGATCCTGTCTGCATAGTATGCCCTTGGTTGGTCATCCTGCATGATGGGCAGGCAGTCTGACAAGCATTCATGGAAGGTTGACCTTCTAATTCTTCAGGCAGACATGCCCCTTCTTTGTGCATGTTTGCCCCTTTGAGCGGTTATGGTTACATGATTTGCGTCAGTGGCACACCCTTTTAAACCGCCCACTGACATCCTGTATCGGACACTGCTGTTAGGGGGTCTGAATTTACTTAATAGATGAAAGTAAAATATTAGCATAGGGTGTGTATCCTGTGAGTTTCCCTCCAGCACCACCTCCACCAGATACATAAGGTTTGGGAGGTATAACTGTTTTAGTGTTTTCTGTCGATAAGACTCTGTAATTAGGCCCATATTTTTTTAATAATGTGTGAGCCCCCTTCCTGCTAGTCACCCAGGTATTGCACTCCCTTTGATCAGTGTGCCCTAAGGCAGCCTCCTGTACAACCTTGTGATAGAGAATGGCCTGCTTCCATCCTTCAAACCAATATATCACAGTGAAATGTTATTAATTAAAGGAACACTCCACACACCTAATGCACTCCAGCATGCTGAAACGCTTTATTTGTAGGATTGTGTCCTTTTTACATTTTTCAGAGTGCAAATTTTAATAGATTGGCACTTTTAGAAATTATCCTTTCTGCCCCCAACTGTCAATAAGACAACAGATCCTGTTATTTCCTGGTAGTTTGACTAAGTGGAACTTAACTCAAGAGGTAGCAATTGTCCAGAGCACCTGCTTTGCAAATACGTCACATTGAGCCGCTTTGGGAAGTCTGTGATTGGACAGTCACGGAAAGTCTGGACTGGAGAAGAAGGGGAGAATTTTCAAATGTTGTAGACAAGAGACCTGCAGGTTTTGCAAGCATTTTTTAGACATACCCCCAATAAACAAATGCATAATTACATGTATGCAAGTTTTTATTGCTAGTATACCTACTACATAGTGATCTTTTGTATATTTATTTTTTATTAGTATTTGGGCAGTTGGGTGTAAAATATCCAAAACATGTAGTTCTATTTGTAACAAAAGAATGTTTTAAGTGCCATTGCATGTTTTATTGGGGTATATCTACTAAATAAAGATAGTTTTGTTTTTTTTTGTATATGAAAAGGTGTCTTTTTGTCAACATACATATTTTCAATCTTGGTTATTTTGGCCTAAATGTTGCAATTCCATTGACAATGACTTATTTAGGGAATAAACCGACCTACTCACATTGCCGATGTCTAAGGATCTAAAACAGCAAACTTGTTATCATGTTCCAAGACTCTGGGGTATGTTAATTCACTGGAATATAATACTCTGTAGCTCTAATAGATCTAATAGGCCTTTTACTATCAGCTCTCACTTTCCTCATCCTGGAAAATAAATGCTGGTTTAGAATGATGAGAGTGAAAGCAGAACAAACGTCTGAATGGGTTCCTCTCCCTACTACTGTATAAAGATAGCAGATTTTATATTTTCCATATATTTGTTCACTTTATGCATACATGCCTTCTTTTTGATGCCTCTGATACACCTCCACCCCAGCCATGATATCAATACCTGAGTCATCTATTTGATTCATCACTGCATTTCCTTTTATTTCCCTCTAACTGACCACTAGTCTCAAGTTAAGCATCTCAGGCCTGATTTACTGAAGCTCCCATGTTACCATACTTCAAATCTATCTGTTCCATATATTGCCTTTTGCAACTTATCTATCCAAAAGCTCCCATCACCTTCCACCTGCATTCTTGTTTTTTTTCATTGCCACTCATGCCACTTTCCACCCATCCTATGCAGTCCTCCACTTGTCAATAACATGTCATTTGCCAATCATCATATGTTACTTAGGGGTGATGGCCAGCAAGATAGCTGTTGCTTGGCTAGCTGCATTGGATGAAGGGGTGGATGTGTACTAACTTTATTTTTATTTTTAATTCTTTATTTTTGTGGTGCACATAGTTAACACAAGCTCTAGCAATGCCCCAACGGGGCAAAGTACAAGACTGGCAAAATACAAATATGAGCAAATATAGGGCATAGTAGTTCACAACACACATTTTTTTTGTTAGTATTAGCTAGGTCACGTGGAGTTTCAAACGGAGATCAAACATGTCTAGGTTATATAGCAATGCTTAAAACGTGGTTAGTGTGTGTTGCATAGACATGAGTAGGTATGTGAGTGTGATGCTTAAAACATGCAGTTGTGACATACGTGTATACAATAAGCAATTAATAAACATGTAGGTTGTTCGGTTAGCAGGTAGGTCATCGTGAGATGAATTAATAACAAGCTATATGAGCTGCTGCGTAGTATGAGTTATAATTGCTGGTTTAAAGACACAGAGAACAACAAAAGAAAAACAAAGATGAAAACATTTGCGATAAAGGCATGCTGATAAATGAGGATATTACCACCCAGAGGAAGTCCACTGGCCACAGGTTATATGTGGTTATTTTATGCTGAGTCCTGTGGTCATCCAATGCCTGTCGCCAGCAGGTCACACTGTGGCCGGTTGTCAGGGTCTTGCAGTGGTGGTTCAATGCGGTGGATCTTTGGACGTGATGGGAGTTGTTGAGGTGGGTCTTTGAGCCAGGGTATGACTGCTTTCAGGGTGGAGGGTGCTCTTGGTGTACCAGCTCTTGGTTTCGGCGGCATTTTCGGTTTCGCCGTTCTGTGCCGGTAAGATGGCAGTTTAGTTATCCGTCACCTTCCCACCTTTCTGGGCTGTTGCAGGGCTGTTGGTCTTTGCTGTGGGTTAGGCAGTGGGCGGCAGGGTGTGCAGCTTGAGGCAGGCATCATTGGTGTCCTCTGCCGAAGCTTGAGCTCCATTCTGAGCCAGAAGACCGTGAGGATTCGCTCTAGGCTTATCAAGGAGCCCTGCAGTGTTGCATGGTAGCTGTCAGGCCACGTGGTCTCAGCCATCTTTGGTGGGTCTCTCGGCTCTCCGCCCGCTTTCCCTTTCGTTGCTGCCTTATCTAGGAGGACTCCCAGCGGTGGACCGTGATCTCCCCCACCGGTCCCAAGAGGGGGGGGTTGCGGGGAACCCACTTGTAGCAGTCAGTCCCTGGGCTGCTCCAGGCTGGGAGCTCGGTCGCCGCTCCTGTCCGGTGCGCTCCCGGCCTCATGCCCCCGCAGGTTTTTCCTTCCGTCTGTTGACCACCCAAGGTTTGCATTACCGGTTTACCGTGGGGGCTGATAGACAGTAAGTCGCGTGGGGTCATTATCTGCCGTTTATAGTGGTTTGAGGGTGCCTTTAGATTTGTTTTCACAGAAATTTGTAGGGAGCTTCAGTCAGGCACGTCTTCCCTCCATGACAGTCAGGCCCCGCCCCTGTGTACTAACTCTTGATGGCTGGGCAAACTCCCTGAATATGTGCTGAGAGAAATATGGTTGTGCACTGCAAGATCATTTAATAAAAAAATGCTCTTCCTGCTAATATAAAGCAGTGCAGCAGCCCATAGTCAAATACAGGGTAGGTCATGGTATATGAATGAGATGCAGGAGTGTAAAATGAAGCCTGCTTATCACAGTGCTTGGCTCACCAGACAATGGTTGTTTTATGCACTATTTTTTTTTTTTTATGTAAGTCCTCTGAGTGCCACCATATTTGGGTTAGTAGCTAGGTATATTGCAGTTTATTGATGTTTATTGTTGAGTGCTGGAGTTTTGTGTGCTGGAGTTTTTTTGTATATATATCGCTCCTCTATGCAAAAATACCAAGTGAAATACAGGTGCATGTACTGAAAAAGTATATGACATATAATGAGTGGCCCAAAAGTAAGCATATAGTTGAATCAATGAAATTTATCACAACAGATTATATAGGCACACATACAGCAACAAAGTGGCAGTTACATTTCAGGCATTTAGATTATCAAAGAATAAAAAAGAATTTATAGAATATACAGAATTACTATACTGCACACCTATTGTTGAGACACCCTGTATGTACATTTGTAAGCTTACTTGTTGTCATGTAATAGAATGTTCTTGCTCATTAGTTAAATATGTAGAATTGACATCTGTGTAAGTGCCAGATTTAGAACAATTCTTTTGTTCTATAACAGTAAAAAAAAACAAAAAAAGAATTTTAATAGGAAAATAATATAATGAAATATACCTGTCTGCTTCTGCGTTTTACAACTGCTAAAGTCTTATGAAAAGTGAAGTAGCCAAATCGTAAAAAAACAACCCCAAACAGATTTATTCACCTAATAACAGACAAAATCATGTTAAAGTTTAGCATACAGGTCAATATGCTTTTCCATTCTTATCTTTTTTATTGCACTAGAGATTCATTTTTTGTTATTTTGTTTAACGTACAGCATATTATTATATTTGAAGGTAGTTTGACTTCAGATGGCATATTGTTACACTGCATCCATGACATATTGAATCATGGGGACACGCACAGTATAGAAGCCAGTGAAATGAATTTGTGTAATGCAATTCACAATGTCAGAGTGGCTATCACAGAAAATTATATTTTTATAACATCAATATGTTCGCTAAAATGTAATATATATTTATAGTGTAAAAAAACACAGGCTGTTCCGTGATCTCAATATTTCTTCAGCCAATGTTATGAAATATAATGCAATATCAACATTTTTATAGAGTTGATACCAATTGTAATTTCCCTTTATCCATTTTCACCTTTTTTTTTGTTTTAATGTCATACAGTGTCCGTTTTTTAAAAAGTCATTTTTAGTTGTTTTTTTTTTTTCAAGTAAAATAAAATTATGTATTGTGTTTTGCACTTTACAAAAATATAAAACAAAGCCAAATGTAAATGAGTTGTTATGCAAAAATATAATTTAGGATTGCTTAATTTTTGCAGAGGAAAATACGTAAATATCGAGTGATTTTAGGGTCAGTATGTTGTATCTGTGTATTGTGGCATGGAGATGTTAATGTTTTCAATGTTGCTGTCATGGTTTTGACTTTATTATTAATATTATCATCATCGACATAACCCCAACATAGTACTTAGTGTTTTACAATACTAAAAAGGGAAATAAGAAAGTAGATATTTTACAAACAAAATAAATACAGTGGAATCAAAATATGAAGAAACCTTACTCATATGAGCTAACAGGAAAAGAGGTAAAAAGAAGAGGATGGACAATGTAAAAGAGGAGAAGTGACAAGTACGACACATTGTTTAGTTAACTTGCAATGTAATAGAGTAGTGTGTGAGAACTGTAGAGTGGAAGATGGGAGAGTGAAACATAGTGTGAAAGTATATGAGAAGGAATGGACCATGGAGATAAATTATGCAGAACATGAAACTATTTCCTACAGAGATATGAATTAAAGGACTTTTTAAAGCACCGTAGGTAAAGGAAGAATTTGATTGGATAAGGAAAGACAATCCATAAGTATGTGTTTAAAAGGGATAGGACTGTGCTATATATAGACAAGGTGTTTATAACTATATAATGCACTGTAATTCAAACCACATATTAACCAGTATCATTGTAATATACCCCATACGCAATTCAATTACATGGAGACAAACGCCAAAGGTTCAAGGTTAAAAACAAATTTATTAGTAAAAAGTAAAAGCCTTTTTTTAAAAATATGTCTTGGAATAGTCAGAAATATAAATAAAACTATAAGGTGATAAATCATAGGTCTTTAAAAATTCCTTTTTAAAAAATATAAAAAAATAAGTAAATGGGAATTTTTTACAATTAGTCCAGATTCAATAAAGTCTTTAAATGCTTTCCCTTTGTTTTAGGTCCTCTGAGGGTCTTGTAGTGAGGGATTATGGGTAGCTCCATTGGAGGGCTTCTCTTAAAAGTGATTTAAATTCTTGGTGGAAATAAGTCCTCTGTTGTGATACTCTGCTCAAACTAGTTTCACCTATGTGGCTTTTTCAATGATGCAGGAATCCTCCTTTGATTCCTGTTTAAGGATTACCCTGAGATTGGTGGGTGGACCTACTTAAAATGTCAGCTGCCAGTGAGAAGTCCTGTAAGTAAGAATCAACAGTCTGAACAAAATGCAAGGCCAGAGTCGAGAATTGCACCATTGCACCATGGCACAGGGATTGTGAGGTTGAGGTAATTGGTGTTCAATAGAGTTGAGCGGACACCTGAATGTTCGGGTTTGGCGGGTTCGCCCGAACTTCGGAAAAAAGTCCGGGTTCGGGATCGAACTTGATCGAATACAAAAATGCCTCTAAAAAGTCCTGGAAAGGGCTACAGGGCTGCAAAAGGAAGTAAAATGGGGGTAAGAGTAGGACAAGTGCCCTGCAAACAAATGTGGATAGGGAAATCACTTAAAATAACATAAAATACATAAAGTAAAATAATAATCTTGAACTAGGAGGAGGTGGTGGATGTGGAGTAGGAAATTGAGGAGGCGGTGACCGTGGCAGTGTAGGTGGAAGCGGCGGTGGAGGAGGAGGAGATAGCCAACACTGTTTTTTATTTGTTTGTTTTGTTTGTTTTTTTTGTTTGTTTTATTTAATTGGGGTAGCCCCCAAAATATTGGGACATATAAAAAAAGAAAACAAAGAATAAGTGCACTTGAGTATAACAATGGCTGGGTGAGGCTGGTATAAATATCTAAATGTCTATTCTGCACAAGGTACAGACAAGTCTGGTGGGATCCATGCCTGGTTCATTTTAATAAACGTGAGCTTGTCCACGTTGGCTGTGGACAGGCGGCTGTGCTTGTCTGTGATAACGCATATGAGGCGTTGAGCGGGAAGGCCAAAGTTACGCTGCAGCGCAGACAGGCGAGCAGCAGCAGGGTGAGAGCGCCAAAAGCACACACAGACAGCCCGCACTTTCTGCAGCAGCTCTGATATATCTGGATAGTTGTTCAGGAATTTCTGCACCACCAAATTAAGCACATGCGCCAGGCAAGGGATGTGAGTTAAGCCGGCTAGGCCCAGAGCTGCTAACAGATTTCGCCCATTACTGCACACCACCAGGCCGGGCTCAGTGGCAACAACCACTCATCGGTCTGTTGTTCCATGCCTGTCCACAGCTATTGCGCGGTGTGGGGTTTTTCCCCCAAACATATGAGTTTTAAAACAGCCTGCTGTCGTTTCCCCCTGGCTGTGCTGAAGTTGGTGGTGAAGGTGTTACGCTGCCTGGGTGAGGTGGTGGTAGAGGAGGAGGAAGCAGAGTAGGAGGAGGAGGCAACAGGAGGCAAAGAGAAATGCCCTGCAATCCTCGATGGCGGAAGGACATGCGCCAAACTGCTATCCACCTCAGGCCCAGCCGCCACTACAGTGTGCAGTTAGGGAGATATATCGTCCCTTCCTGTGCTTGCTGGTCAACGTATCTGTGGTTATGTGGACCTTGCCACAGATGACGTTGCACAGTGCACACCTGATTTTGTCTGCCAATTGGTTGTGCAGGGAAGGGATGGCTCACCTGTAAAAGTAGTGGCAGCTGGGAACCCCGTACTGTGGGACAGCCACCACCATCAGGTTTTTAAAACTGTCCGTCTCCACCAAATGGAATGACAGCATTTCAAAGGCCACACATTTTGAAATGCTGGCATTCAGGGCCAGGGATCACAGGTGGCTAGGGGGTACTTCCTCTTTCTCTCCAGTGTTTGGGAGATGGACAGCTGAACGCTTCCATGGGACAGTGTGGAGATGCTTGGGGATGGTGGCAGACGTGGTGGCGTTG